CGTTCTGACTGTGTGCATGTGAGCCAACTGGGAATGATTTTTTTCATAGGCTGTTGGAAGATTATATGAGAGCCATAGAAGGAGTGAAAAAGCATCTTCTTCAGAGATCAGAACCCAAGAAGCTTACTTTTGTAGGAGAGCTTGCTCATGGCCATTTCAGTGCCAAGATGGTAAGAAATACAACTGCAAAAGAAAACAGAAAAACCATTACAAACTTTAAATAAAACCCAACACAGAGGCAAATGCAAAGCTTTTCCCCCTCAAAAAACAGCAGCAATGAAGAAAAACAAACAACAAGCAAACAAAACCAAACCGACAAGCAAACAAAAAACCCCAAACACCCCCCCCGCCCCAAAACCCCCCCTGAAACCCAAGGCAATCTATATATACACATCTGTCCAGTGTGATGGCAGTAATGAGTAACTGCCTTGAAGATACTAAACACATGTGTAAACTGGGGGCTTTCTCTATGAGTTACTCTAGTAAACCCATTTTCTTCCTTCAAGACTGAACATTTTGGTGCTGGAACTAAATTCTCTCTCTCTTTTTTCCTTTTTTTCTGTTTTGGTCATAAAATTCCAGTGTCTGAAATTGTTGAGATAATACCTATTTTATGTATTAGTCATTTTCCATAATTCAAAAATTTATGTAGACACTTGAACACCTGTGTTTTCAGAGTTGCCTTTGAAAGAAGCATGTCATCTAATATTGTATTATTGGGTTAAAAAAGAAATTAACAATTTTGGAGGTTTCTGCCCATTCGTGACGTCTTTGTTTTCCTACCTGGAAGATTCTTCAGTAAAACAGTATGCTGTTTGCTGTAGGAAAAATTTTTTATCTTAACCCTCTGCTTCTAATATGTGCATTTTAAGATCTTTCAGTTAAAAATCTCATGCAGTCCAAGTATTGTAGTGTGTGCGTCTTGTGACACACAAGACGGTGATGTATTATTAATGTACATATAGCCTTTCCTCATGTAGTATTTTTAAGATACTCAGTTCTAGTTTTCAGCAGTTGTGCTTTTTGGATCTGAATTTCCCAAAAGCTCTCCAAAAAAATCTTCCGTGAATAAGACCAGAGTCTGGGTTTTGGGTAGGGGGAGCTGCCCCATCCCAAGAGAGGACAGAGTTGAATTGAGACAGAGAGGTTTGGCTTAGGTGTCTGTACATTTCAGAACACTTCCTTGTGTTTCAGGGAGACGGGATTTTGCTTTTAATCCATTATTATTGGGTGAAAGGCTGGACGGGTCTCTTATGCTGACCAGCTGGAAAAGTGGGAGATGTTTGTCTCCTATGACTACGCTGGATTTTACAGCCCTCAACTTTCCCTAAGGACTGGACAAAGCTTTTAAAGGTCCATACAGGGGCATCAGAGTGGTTTTACTATGTTTTTGGGTGATGAGACCTAAGCTTGGATTCTGAAAGTTGAGAATCATTTGAGATCCCATATGTGACATTAATCTGAAGTGCTTACTTACTTATATCAGTGGTAGATTAGCCCTAGAATGAGGACAGCCAAGCCTTTAGGTTCTGTTTACACCCTGCATGAGCTGATATGAAATGTATGCTTCTGGTAAACCAAAAGACACTCTCCTTTCCCTTAATGTGACCTGAGATTTTTTTTTTTGTTCTGGAACTTTTCATAAAAACACATTCTTGTACGTTTTTGAAATTAACAATTTCTGTAATAATGGTGCCTGCCTCATGTTACATTACATCAGATTTTAAAAAGTTATCCTCATGTTGGTACCAGAAATGTGTTTTGAAGAAGTGAAAGAAAAAAAAATTAAGAAGACAAAGGTACACTCACAGACCCCCTACCTCCCCTTGCCGTTTGATGTGTAACTCTTCAGTAAGAGTTGTCTTGTCTTGCAGGATCACTTGGTTTGCTTCTTGCCGGGTACTTTAGCACTGGGAGCTCACAATGGACTGCCTGCTGATCATATGAAATTGGCTGAAACTCTTATAGAAACCTGCTACCAGATGTATGCTCAAGTAGAGACAGGCCTGAGCCCAGAGATTGTACACTTCAACCTCCATGCACAGAAGGGCCACAGGGATGTGGAAATCAAGGTAAACAGACAACTGGCCTGAACTCCAGTTCCACGATTTCTCCGTAGCTCTATTCTGCTGTTGAACTCCCGGCCAGTTACTAGGGATGGGGTTTGTCGTGAAGCAGTTAATTCTTTTGCTGCCTTGTCTTCTAGCTGTACCCTAGGCTTTGGTTTTAGTTACACCAGCAGTATATTTAGAAGCTGACTTATGCTTAGAAAATTCTTAGGAGCAGATGGAGATGTGAATAATTCTTTTTCTCCCTGCTGTATCCTGGAGGAAATTCCCTATCTGAAATACTCTGGCCATTTTTTCTCTTGCAGCCTGCAGACAGGCACAACTTACTGCGACCAGAAACTGTGGAAAGCCTTTTTTATATGTATAGATTCACCGGTGATAAGAAATACCAAGATTGGGGCTGGGAAATCTTGCAAAGTTTCAACAGATACACCCGGGTAAGGCCAGTTCATAATGACCTTGTTCTGTCAAGACTGTATTTGCTCACTTGCTTTCTAACACCAACTTGGAAAACATACTGTGTTTCAAGATTCATCAGATAACCGTGGGGGAATTTGTAAGTATACGCAGAAAAATTGTTTTCTTATGGATGGAGATACCCTGCTTAGTCCACATAGTGAAAGAACTTGTATTATATTGATGAAAGACCTAAATGCAGAAGCTGTAGGCAAGACTACCAAAGTGTTAGAATCTGAAGTTTTTTAGACTTTGGAAGCTGAGAAGGACATGGCTGGATTGAAAGAACTCTTCAATTACAGTTGCCAAAGAAAAAAAAATACCACAAAATGGCATTAATGGTTTAATAGAAGGGTTAGGGTTAGGGTTTTCTATTTCTTTTCTATTCACTCTGACTACAGTGCGCATGGAGATGCCACTGATAATGCCTTGCAAGTGTGGCACCAAGCATCAGTGGTCTGTTCTTAAGAAAATGGATACAAGGCTTGGGCCTACAGCTCTAATGGAGAAATTGCTGGTTCCTTTCAGTTTATTTGTCCAGAAACTTCAAAGGGATGTTCTTTGTGATACCTCTTTACCCTAAGCACAAATGGATATTTTGCTTCATTTATCGTTGTAGTTTCTTTTAAAATGTAATGAGATTTTTTTTTTCATTACGGAAGCTTTCTATGTAAATGAAAACCAAGGATGGAATGAAAAGTATGAAAACATGATGGTCTGTTTTTTACCACTTACCTTCTCCAAGTGCATCTGGGTGTTAGGAAGTAAAAATTTATTTCAGGTTATGTAAAGATATAATTTTTTTTTTTTTTTTTCCCCACAGGTTCCTACAGGTGGTTATACTTCCATTAACAACGTTCAGAATCCCAGTAATCCAGAGCCACGGGATAAAATGGAGAGCTTCTTCCTTGGGGAAACACTCAAATACATGTTTCTGCTGTTTTCAGATGACATAGACTTAATCAACCTTGACAAATACATCTTTAACACGGAGGCTCATCCACTCCCTATCTGGGTGCCGGCATAGACTCTGCATCAGTGGATCTTCTTCCAATGGTGGCATTTTTATCTAAAAGTCACTTTACTTTTCAGGGTTTGAGGAGAGATGCTATAATGCACCTTTTTGACTTCAAACAGCAAACAAAAAAGCTTGGGAAAAGCATCTCTGGTTTGAAAAAATCATGTCAGTCTTAAATCTAATCCCTGTTTCTGGGATGGGCAAAGCTGTGCCATATTAAGCTGGTTTCTGGTACTGATGATGAGGTTCAGAAGGCAATTGTAGTGTGGACCATGACATTCTCGGGGCTCTGGTGATCCAGAGCTCACTTATGTCAGTGTTACTAAATGCTCATTAAATACTGGGAATGTAGCGAGTTGGCTTAGGGCACAGTGTTGTTCCCGGAGAGCAGAAGTAAGCCTACGGTTTTCTGGTTTATTCTGGATTCGCTGAAACACTGGATTACAGAGCATTCCTTTGTCAGACTGTCACAGTGGTTCAGGTGGAAAGTGGAATGAACAGCTGTAGTGCTCTCCCCGGGAGAAGCTGTCAGTATAGCTGCTGGTACGCTGATCTCATTCCAAACTCCTGAGCTATGCTGGATCACCTTAGGAGAAGGAAGAGGCAGCAGAGCATCTGTTGTATAGTGTCTTAGTTTTGTAGAGCACTTTGAACAGTCTGTTCAAGCTGTGGCTGAAACGAACGGTGAAAGAGAATTTGCTGCTGGTTTGGCTCAAAGTGGTATATAATTTTGTAGAGGTATTGCAGTTTTTTAACTTCCCTGCAGGAATGCAGGAGATAATGTGAAATGCAAGTAAAACTACTCATGCATTTTATATCTTATTTGCATCAGTTAGACTCAGGTATTCTGACTAAAAGCTGCTTTCTGAGGTTGGGCACTGGGAAAACTTGTGAGCATATTAGGTATCAGCCTCCTTCCGTCCCTTCCCATTCAGATATCACATTTATGGGTGTTTGTTGGCTCAAAACAAGCTTACAACTGTACAGTAAAGTTCCCGTTATTTGTAATTTCTTGGACCGTGGAGAAATTTTCAGTTATTTTTTTCCTTAGAAGTACATTGTGTATTTCCAGCAGTAGTGTTAAAAGTAGACAGTCTAAAGGTATTACAGCAGTTCTAGGCCCCAGTAGAAATGGAGAAATTAATTTCGGTTACTCGAAGACAAAGTAGACCCAGGTTTTTTAAGAATCTTACAGGAGCCCTGGGATCTTTCATTTTTATATGTGCACATTTACAGATTTTAAGCCATGAATTTGGAAATTAGCTTTCTAGAGTGCTTTTCCTTTTGGATTTGGACTTGGACAATCCCATATTCACGGATAACATCTCAGAAATGTAATTGTTTATATTTCCAGAGGTTAGTCTCACTGAAAGTCCTCTTCTCCCATGGCAGTGGGTGTCATGAGGGTCAGGAACTGCAGTCCCCACTAAATCCAGGGGTCCTTGGCCATTAATGGAGCTGACTGAATTTGACTCTAATGGTTCATTTTCCAGTGGCTGAGGGAGGTATTTTATAGTAATTGTAACCTTTGATTTGCAAAGTAAGATGCATCTTTATTTGTTTTATGCTGATCCATTCTGTTTGCTGGAGTTACAAGTTACTCTTGGGACCACTATTTTAAGTCTTTTTTATAATATTTATCATTCCACGTACTAGCGGAAATGGAGAAGTTCTACAAATTATTTAAATGCTCATTTTTCTGTCATCAGAGGGATTCCGTCTCGGTATTGGTGGGACATGACCAGTCAGTGCGGAATGTTCACATGCCAGCAGTAACTCTGACAATGAGCTTCTCACAAGTGTGGTGGAATGCTATGGCCTTTGGCTGCACAACTGATTTGCTGCCAAGGCTTCTGTTTTCTTTGGCACAACAAATGAGGATAGTGCAGGGGAAATGTGGAAGGAAACACCTTCAGTTTTTTTGTTCGTGAAGCAGGTTTGTGCTGCTGAGGATCTGAGCTTTGGCTAAAAGCTTAAAATTGGAGACTAAAGAAAAAAATGAAAAATTTAAATTCAGTGACACTACCCAAGTTCTGCTGACCTGTGTTATTTTGGCCTTGTGCCTTTGAGCAAAGCAAATTTTGAACCTTTAGTTATGACTGTGCTATGGACTGTAAAATTTCCAGGCTTCGGTGTTTCACCCAGATAGCTGCCTGACTGAGGCAAGAGAGATTTCTTAGAAAATGGAATACATATAAGTGCTTACCAAAAATCTCATGGTTTTGAAGTTGTACACAAGTCTTAATGTAATTGATTCTACGAATGGGACTGTGGGAGTCTATGTGATACTTTTTTTGCCTTATGATTGGCTTTGAGAGTAATAATTAATTTCTTAACGAGTTGAAGGAGAGAAGAATAAACTGTCACTTTCCCAAACATGTCTTGTGTTTTAGCTGAGCCTGTTGGTCCAACTGATTCTATATAGTTCCTCTTGGGGACATGCAGACTCCTCAAAGTGTGGCTTTACATTTTCTCCTCAGCCTTTAAACCCAAGGTTCGGATTGTTAGCTCTCACTCCTTTCGATAACCAACGCTTATTTCGGATCCTGCTGTCACGTGTGAAATAGCACAAACTGAATCATCTCAACAAAGCTCATCTGTTCTTTTGCAGAGGTCATTTTTATTGCTCATTTATTTTTACTTCCTTAACAAACCATTGTGGCAGATGGGTCTCTGAGCTTCAAAGCCAGTTTCTGTTCCATGATGCGCTCCCCCGGTGCAACAGAAGCTCAAAGCTTCCCTTTGTGGTTCTTTGTTTCAAAGCTTGAACTGCTGGGTCTGTAACCCACTTTGGTGTTTCTGCATGCTGGGACATTCCTGGCTCAAGTGGAGTGTTGCGAGAAGGCCACCGCTGAGCCGGGGTTCTGTCCTTTGCAATAGAAAGCCTTGGGTTTTCACTGAGAAACAGCCAGGCATGGGTAGAGACACAGAAAATTGCAGGGCTGTGAACTTGGGAGTCTCACACTTGGGGCTTTGAGCCACGTTTCAGGAAATACCGACCTGTATGCTCAAAGAAAATTCAGCAGCTAGACGGCGCGCAGTTACCATCTAATTCCTGAACTTTTGAAAGCTGAATTCTCTCTACAGGTCTTAGAAACTGGCAGTTTTGCAAGGTCCCTGGTGTTGGCTGACAGGTCTCTCGTGTTCTGCAAGACTTTCATGTAACAGGATTTTCAGCATTCCATGCTGTGAAAAACGAGGTTCACGTATTTTTTATAGAATTTAAAAGTTTAATAGACAATTAAGAGATAAAAATTAAGTAAAATATACAGCTATGGCCAGGTGTCTCTGCATTCAGCCAAGGGAGCGCACCTTACTTACAAAGGATTGTCCCTTAAAATCGTGTTCTCATACACGATTCAAGCATTCTTTTTAAGTTTTGGATTTTTCTTTGTTTAGTTTTTGACCTGCCCCCTTCCCAATAAATCAGTCTTCCTGGCTCCACCGAGTTTCATATTCCCTGATAACAGAAACGCAATAAATTCCTCCCTCAGAGCTCTGGCCACTGCTGTCCTGATCTGGACAAAATAATCTAAGAATGGAGGGGGGTCTCTAACTATCTTCTTCAGTCTTTGGGTTATACAAACAAAAGTAGTTTTTGTTTTAATACTATGCCATAGGTCAACATATATGTATATTATACTACTATTTCTAAGTTTCATCAATAACTGAAATGGAACTATATTAATATAACAAAGTTTTCTAACCTTATACATATAACATTCATTTTAATATTTGCAAAAAGACAACAATATAATATGTATTTATAACACATGCCAAGCTCAGGTACAGCTCTATATACTCCAAAGAATACACCTTATTTCCTGTTCCGTGCCAGCGTGATGTTGGCTGCGATGACAGATGAAGATGGGAAAGGTTTTTGCAATATTGAAATAATATTGCATATTATAATAAAAATTTCATGTTTTCAATGAATTTCTGATTTGCAATTGTCTTACGTTTTTGAAGTTCCTTACCAGATTCTTTGTTTCTCCTTATAAGCCCAGCTGAACAAGCCCCAGGTGTGACCGGTGAGGACGAGGAGAGAGCAGCTCCTGGCAAAGGCATTTTTCAGAGGGTTACCCGGGCAGACCCGCGCAGGGAGCCGCCGGAGGGGCCAGCGGGGGCATCCCGGGAGTTCCCTCCGAGAACGAGGATCACGGCACTCAGCAGGGACCGGGGGAGCAGCCGGTTCCACCCCGGCGGGGAGCGTCACTTTAAGAGAAAGCCGAGGGAAAAGCCTGTCCTGCTGAGCGGCGGCACCCGAGCGGGCGGGGCAGCACGCGGGGGCCCAGTGGGCCGGGGGGAGCTTTCAACATTCCCCTTCTACCTCGCCACTCCCTCTCCAGAACTCCAGAACAGGGATGGATTATCAGGAAAAAAAGGGGTTTAAACAGAGGGAAAAAGCTTCCTTTTCCAGAATCGCCTGTGTTCGAATAGAAGAGAAATCCACTTCCCCTGCAATTTTAATAGCTAAGGACCATCCCGAGGGTGCTCAGCACCACCTCGAGGGTGCAGGATGAGTCCCGAAGGTGCTCAGCACCATCCCGAGGGTGCAGGATGAGTCCTGAGGGTGCTCAGCACCATCCCGAGGTACCTCTTCTACCTCACCACTCCCTCTTCAGAGCCCCAAAAAAGGGATGGGTTATCAGGAAAAAAGGGGTTTAAGCTGAGGGAAAAAGCTTCCTTTTCCACAATTGCCTGTGTTCAAATTGAAGAGGAATCCACTTCCCCTGCAATTTTAATAGTCTCAATTTAGGCGGGACCAGGGCAATAGAGAGGGCCGGAGAAGGGGACGGGAGTCTGGCGAGCGGGGCCCAGGGCGTCCGCGGACCCTGCGAGCACCCCTGGCTCCGCCCAACTGAGCACCTCGCGCTCCCATGGGCCGCAGCCTCAAAGCTTCCGCCAATCCCGGTGGATCGGTTCTAGGTCAGGGTTCTAGGTCAGGGTTCTAGGTTATGGTTCTAGGTCAGGGTTCTAGGTTATGGTTCTAGGTAACGGTTCTAGGTCAGGGTTCTAGGTTATGGTTCTAGGTCAGGGTTCTAGGTTATGGTTCTAGGTTATGGTTCTAGGTCAGGGTTCTAGGTCAGGGTTCTAGGTGGCCAATCACAGCCGCCCTTTGAATCCAGGCGCGGTCCCGCCAAGCTCAGCCCGCTGAGTCGTGTCCCGTTCCCGCTCCCCCGTTTTGCTGGGGTGCCGCTCCGGCCGCTGTCGCTTTGGGAGCCGGCGGAGCCGAGCTGCCGCAGCCCCGAGAGGTGCTGCTGGGTCCCGGGAAGGGTGGGCGGGGGCTCCCCGTTCAGGTCCCGGCCGTAACTTCGCCCAAAGAAACGGGGAGAAGGGGGGGAGCGGGCGGGATCGCGGGAGCGGGGCCTGAGGGGACAGCGGGGGGTCGCGGAGGCGAGCGCGGCGGGAACGGGCGGGCTGGGATTGGCGGGCCCGGCGCTGCCTCGGGCTGTGATTGGCTGGGCTGGCTGGCCGTGGGCTATAAATAGTGTGAGCTGGAGGGGTGCGGGCATTAGTTCGGCGGCGAGGCGGCAAGCGGCGGGCGGCGGCGGGAGCTGCGCAGGCGCGATCCAGGGAGCGCCGGTGCGCCAGGACGGGAGCCCTGCTCTCGCTGATCCGGGGAGCGCCGGTGAGGTCGGGTGCCATGCCCGCGTCTGCCAGGGCCAGCATCTGGGGGCTGGCGGTGTCCTGGGGCGGCGGGGCCGGTCGTGGCCAATTCTTTCTGCCACGTCCTGGGCTTTTCGGGCGGCCGGAGGTGGGTGCGGGGTCTGGAGACGCACAGGGAGACGAGCTGCTGCTTCTGCAGGACAGAGAGGAGCTGTTTTGTAGTTTCTGGATTGAAGATAATGTTTAAAATATCGGGAATAAAGCTGGGATTTTCTGGTTTTTATTATTTTAGTTTGACTTTATTTAAAATAATAACGATTTTCTTTATTACATTGCTTAGCTTTGCTCGTTCTATTAAAATAATAAAATTATTAATTATAATTACTTTTAACAAGATATATTGTTATCTTTATATGTATTAGTTTAACTAAGTATTAATAAATAATGATTAAATATTATCTACTATTATTAAATACTACTTGTTAATCATTATTTAATTAAATATTTATTATTTATTAGTTTGTTATTTACTAGTTATTTAATACTATTAAATATTAATTAAATATTATTTATTAATAATTGTTTAATTAAATATTGATTATTTAATCGTTAGCTAATATTAATTATTATTTATTGATTATTAATTAAATCTTAACTAAATATTTATAAATTATTAATTAAATGTTGATTATTTATTAGTTAGTTATTATTATTTATTATTTAATTATTAATTAAATATTATTTATTAATTCATTATTAAAATTAATTACTTTAGGGGCTTTTTTGCTGGATAGCTGATGTTAATTCAGTAGAGATTGTGGGGCTGGGGCTGAAACACCCATTGTGGGACCAGTGGAGACATAAAGCCCCAGGGTGTGGAATAAAGACCTTGGCACTGGAATCATGCCTAAACCAATGTGGGGCAATGGAAATACTGAGGCTGGAGCTGGATAAATGCCATGGGGGAAGGGGATGGAGCTGCAGCTCAGGGCCTGCAGGAGGTGCCTGGGGGATTAGCAGCCCCTGTCTGCTGGTACCAAGGAGAGTCTGAGATCTGGGGGCTGGGAGGGCCCAAGGGCACCTTTTGGGATGGGGGAGCAGGGGCCCAATGGCTATTCCCAGCCCCTGGTTCTGCCTGGGGGGGTGGGGGGGGCCTTTGGGCAAGTGCTGGGCTGAGACCCAGGGGGAGGGGGAAGGTACCTGTTGGGCTTGAGGCCTCAAGTGGCCCCAAAGTTGGGCTCCCATTAGGGTGGGTAGGACAGTATCTAGAGACATTGAAGTGATAATAATAACTGATTTGTGGCCTTATCAACAGCCCCGGGCTGCAGTGAGAAGCAGGAGCAGCTTTCAGCCACCAGTAGTGGGAAGCTGAAGAGCAGGAACTGAGGAAGCAGAGCTGGAGCAGACAGAAACATGGTAGGGTTTAGGGTAAAACTGTTGTGGGGCTGGGATAAGGAATATGGAGCTGGGATGCGAACTGCATGGCTGGAGCTGAAATCAGTGTAAGGGCTGGGATAGGGCCTTGCAGAGCTGTTCCTCCAGTAAGGATGGTCAGGTTGGGGTTGGAATGTGGGTTCAAGAGCTAAGCTCAAACCACAGAGAGCTAGAGCTAAACAGAAATCCTGCCTGGAGAGCCAGAAAGCGTCATGATGTGGCACTGCTGGGAAGATGAGGAGGCAGAAGCGCAGCACAAGAGCTGGCAGTCAAATAAAGCTTGTGGGACTGAAACTGAAATCACTGGGGCTGGTATGGGGACTGCTGCAAACACTGTTCTGAGGGGATAGTGACTGTACATGTGGGAAGCAAGCATAGAATGGTACACAACGGGGCAGGCTGTAAATACAGTAAAGATTGCTTTGGGGTTGGGATGGGGTGGGAGTGGCATTTCTCAGCCTGGAGGTGAACCTCAGAGCTGGAACCAAGGAAAAAGACCCTTTATCTCAAACTGGAGCAGCTTCACCTACAGAGAGGGGGAAAAAGAAGCGGATGTGGAGCTGGAAGAAGAGAGCTTCCAGTGAAATAAAGCTTGTGGGCCAAGAGCTGAAATCACTGGGGCTGGGAAGGGCTGTTCATGGGATTGCCACTGTCGGATCTGTGTGCTGGAATCTCTCTAGGCCTGTGATATGGATGTTGGGGCTGGGTCCTGTGATTGGAAATAGAACAAGATGGGTAGGGCCAAAAAAATGGGACTGTAACATGGGAGCTGAAATGCGTTAGGGTTAGGGATTTTGCCTGCGTCTTTGATAGCCACTGTAGGGCT